TTTTACAGTAGTGTATATCATCCAGTATTGGGTTTTTAATTGTGCATACTCATTTATCTTGTTTTTACATTTAGATTACCTTTGTCGTAATCTTTAAAAACAATAATAATTGCTTCTTTTTTTTACTAAATAGTACAGAATATACTATTTAAATGGTGCAACCCTTAATATCAATGCATCCCTAGAAATGACAGAAAGATTTGTACACTGTTTGAATAAGAAATTAGTTCTAGGTTCACTTACTGAAAATGATGTCATGTTTTTGCCAGTCTCTCAAGCTGATATAAAAGTAGGAAGAGTGCATATTGCATGAAGACAGTACTTTTAACAGTTCTTGAAGATGCACCATAAGCAAAACAAATAGTACTAGATTTCGGTCCTGGCATGTTATACAGCAATTTTGTGGATAAATGCCAGTGATGCTTTAATGTGTAACCACATAGTCATGTTGTAACTGATGACTGAATCATCAGTGTCCCAATATTTCGTCTATCAAAATCATTGCTAGTGCCCAAATTCGATACACTGATTCATACAAAATCGATTTCACACAAATGACTTGCATTCCAAACTGAAAGAATCATTCATTAGGTTCTCACATGAGTGTACGTTCACTCGAAACTGGGTCGCTTTCGTGAACTTTATTGCCAGACTGATCTTTTAATTCACAGGTTTTCTCAGTAAAAGTACTCCTGGAAAAATGAGGTGAGAGTAACTTAAGAAAAGGAAAACAAGCGAGTTGATTTAGCTTCATCTTAAAAAAATTATTTGGCAGAAACTTTGAGCAACAATCTAATTAGCTCATGTTCTCTGTTTAAACCTAATAACTCTATTTTGAAACTGCAGCATCATTCTACACGTCTACATAAAACAACGCAATTTGCTGTATTCCAGCAAAAAACATTTCCTTGGTTAGTGTGCCAAGAGTCCGGCTCGTGCTTGCACCAAGCCAAGACATTTGGTGGGAAAAGTTCCCCCTTTCCCGCCCTCTCCAAAGCATAAATAAATCAACTCACTATGAGCTAATGGGGAAGCATGAGGTAGCCAATCAGGGAGAAGCTACGAGGGCTGACATTTGGAAAATGGCCTTTGCAGCTGAGAGCAGAACAGACTGCTCAGGAAATGTGTCGGCATGTGACACGCTCGCTAGATATGATAAATGTAACATGCACGCACAAACAGCCACACACAGGTTGACAACAGATACATCTATGCTGAGAATGAACACAAAACACCATGCTTCATGCATGCATGATTAAACCATGTAGATTTAAGTGGGCCGACACATACAAGAGAGGGAAAAAATGTCTCTGGTGTATGAGTGAGTTCACACAAAAGGATCAAGGGAGAGTTAATAGCTGTTGATAGCCGACAGCTGGAGTGGTCACATGTTCTGTGACTGGGAAAATCGCAGGGAAAACTCTTTGGGTACGTTCCAATCGCCTGAACGTGTGCTGCAAAGTAGACTTTACAAGGCATTTGGTCAATTTAATTGCATTACAAAACGCATCGACCATTTATGCTAAGTCCGACTGAGAAAATGAACCAAATCACATGTATTATCATATAAAATGTCATAAAAATATTTATCATTAAATTTAGGGGTTGAGTATGACAAAGTATATATTTAAATACAGGAATTCCTATATATACTGTATATATATATATATATATATATATATTAACAGCCAATTACTCCAGTATTTAATGTCATATATATTCCAATAAGAGACAAAAGTGGGACATATATACTGCATATCTGTTGGGTGAGCACCCTCACATGTCTATATCTCTGGGAAGGATATCAGCAGGTTAGTGTTTGACCTCTACACTGAGCATGTGACCCTTGCATGTATTTCCCAGTCACAGTCCAGCTCCATTTCCTGCCGGAGGCCTAAAAATACTTTAAACTTCTATGTTTATGGACGCACGTGAAGGAGACAGACTGTCCATGCACACACCCTGTGAGTGCGTTTCATCATTTGTTATGCTTATCTGTCAGAGATAATGAGTCAGTCTTTCTGATATATTAGACAATAACCCTGTTCTCACCTGGCCCAAGGGTGAGACATCGCATTTCTCATAGCTGTTATATACACAGTGAGCAGTGATTCATGATGTGATCGTCAGATTAACTAATGACATATCTGAAATCGATCTCTAATGAGAGGTGCTGGTCACATCCACAGTATCATGGGTGAAAGTTGAGGTAAGTCAATCTTTATCTGGGAAACCAGCTACTGACAGATCCTAAAAACCCAATATCCAGTGCCAGACTATAAACAATCCGCCTCATTGCTTTTTTTTTTTATCTTGTTCTTTGACTTTTATCCCAGCAGCGAATGGAGATGAGTAAAACGAGCAAAACTGCATGTAATATTAGTGCTGAACAACAAGAACAGAGAGAGATGAGCACCTCTGCAGCAGTGCAGCCGTGCCTCGACGTGCCGTGAGAGGGGCAGCAGCATCTAAAGAGGAGAAATTACTTTTTATGAGCTTAACTGCCCTGTAATCTACCTCTCTCAGCGGGACCTGGCTCATGCAGTGAGTCAGCCTTTTACAGGCGTAAGTGCTACCTGTGCAAAACGAACTACCTCCCTTAAGGCCCCAATGCAGTTCAAGTGAAATTAAAGTACGAACGGTGATGTCATTTCGAACTAAATCTGGCCAGCTGATAAGAATTATTTGTTTTGGGAATTGTGAAACACTAACACCATGTCTACCCAGGATGCGAGTACTGTGATGCGACTAAAGACAATAAAATTCATTTTAATCACACATCCTGTCTACACTGGATACGTTGTGGCATGACGCATTGGGACAAGACAAATCCCCAACAGGAAACTGATGCTTTAATATTCCAAGTGCCTGCGCTACTTCTCACATGAAAGAACTTGTCAAAAACTTGTCAAACCCATATCAGAATCAAATCCAATCAAGAGCTTGTGAAACGAAATCGAAAGCAGATAGCAGATTTCTCTTTTCGATTTGATTCAGAATCGCACGTTCTTATGACTCAATTTGATTAGATTTCAATTTAATTCTGAATCATTTGAGTTTATTTCAGTTATACTGTTCATTCTCTCTTTACCAATGCTGTAAATCATATAGTACAGTTTTTCAGAATAATTCAAACCGATGATAACTGAATTGAATTAAATTTGTTCATGAAACAAACTATACTGGCCACATTGTATGTTTAATTCACTAAGGTATTCAATTCACTAAACAGTAAGAATAGCACATTTTAGGAATCAGGTTACACTGGTCAGGCAGGTTTTTTATCTGGATTCACTAGAAATAACTGGCTCATGACATTTTTTTGTCCATGGATATAAAAATCCTGTAAAAAAAATACTAATACAGGAAACTCTCTAATTACAGAAATACCAAGAAAATGGAGCAAGTTCACAAAACAAAACAAAAAAGTTCTCATGGGATCTGAAATATGGAAAATATTGCACAAATACTTATTTTTTACACATCTGCTGACTTTGGGATTTTAAGAATTGATATTGGGGTTGTTCAAATGAAGTTCATAATGAGTCAAATAAATAAATAAATAAAACCTGGTAGTTTCAACATCCTTAGTCAACATACAGTTAAAATGCATTATAGTTAAAACACAATAAGAGAATATCAAGGGAAAAACAGTGGTGGCCTGCATATACAGTATGCTGAAGAGGAAGCCAAGTCAAACACATTCACCTCATATCTATGGGGGCGGTGGAGACACTCCCGGGGAGTGCTACCTAGTCTCAAACTAGTTTTTATTCTTGCTGGCATGCAGGTATAGCCTCGATGTCTCCACTTTGTTTTGAAATCTTCGCCTTCCTGCTGTGGGACAGCCGTAAACAGAGTGCTCGAGCTGTGAAGCCGTGTGACACATCTCATGTTTATGAAGGAGAGATCATTTCTAAAGTAGGTGTAGAGTCTGGACCAATCAGACACACCATTTTTCATTTGATTTAACAAATCAGTTATTCATAACTGGAGTCCCTTAATCATGCAGATTTATGCTACAGGCTCTGTGTAGAATTGTACAGTAAGAAAGTTATTTCCCTTAACCAGGAAGTTAACGTTCTTAGAATTGACAGACAGTTGACCCTGAATACTTACAGCGGATCTAAATATTTATAATTAATTATAACTAGTTATGATTAATTATTCATATTTCCCCTTGAGCTGATTCGCTACATAGGTGCGAGGGAAAGATGCAGGTCTTCACTTGCAGCTCGATCATGGGTAATTATATATTTCAATAGCCTATAGCAAATTGTAAAATATGCAGGTGTAACAGATATTTCACAACTTGACATGTATATTTGGTATTATATTGGAAGAGTACAGTGGTATCTGTGGTTCAAATGGGTACAACAAACAAACATAAATCAGTATAGTTAAACATTAGTAGACATTAATGAACCTAAAAGATTGGTATGTACATCACCATCTTCTGAACACATGCCAATGGCATAAACTAAATGATGCAGTTAGATATCTAACATTGCCAAATAAACAGCAACAACTCTAGAAATGAAATGCTATGAAACGCTGCCAGTGCAAGCTTACTAACCCTGCATTTGACTGTTCCTTTTCATCTGACTATTCCTACTTCCCTACTATATAGTAGGCGAGAAGCAGTATGCGAGATTTCCAAATTCATAATATTCATAAATCAGTAGGTGAAGAGCACCCAGATGTCCTATTACTTCTGGCGAGATTCTGAAGTGTGCATATGATGAACACTCTCAAATATCCCATGAGGCTATGGGAGAGAAGTTGTCAATGAAGTGACGCAACTAATAGGTCACTGGTACTGGTAGGTCAGGTGACATTGACAATATGGATGCAGTATTCATACTACCCATATTCATATTGTATAGAACATACTTTTTTTACAGTCTCAAAGTAAGTTTCAAAGCAATTTTAGTACTACTAGACAGTATGCAATTTTGGACGCAGCTTACTTTTTGGGACAATGCCCATGTGTGATATACCTTCAAGACAGAGCGGGGCGGTCAAGGTGAGATCCTTCCTCGGTTTGGGCTGGATCTTCTGGTATCTGGCCTCTTGAAACTGCCTCACCCTCAGCTCCAATGCTTCTCTAATCAGGGAGCCCACTTCCTGTGCATACAAACACATAAGAGTTTGCACACATATTTGCAATCTCAAAAACAAAGATAAACCTCCCAAGGTGACATTTGTCCTAAACTTTTTACATGGAGCTCAAATTTAACTAGAAGTGCTGCATGTAGTTAAACCTTGGAGGGAAAATCATTTAAAGCTTTTCGGCTGCATGGGCCAATGAAAACATATCTTATAAAGGCAGAAAAAGGATGGGGGGATCCCCGAGAGTAGATCTAAATTCCAGATTCCTGCAGTTTCAGTCTATTGAAGTATAAGAGGACATACAAAAACAAACAGAAACACGCCCTCGTTCCCATACCTTCCTGTGCTCTGGAGAGAACCAGCTGGCATTGTTTTGGCCGCCTAAAGGCAGTATATGAAGATCCACCAGCACGGCGAAATTCCCACACTTTGAGAGAGAAAGACAGAGAGATGGGGGGTTTAAACACAACAAAAAGAAGTAATCACTGAGCTGATTGAATGACACCTTCAAATCCATAGCTGAAGGCAAGTCACTCCATCCCCTTCCTCTTGTCTTTGTGCATCTGCTTTCCCCTCTCTGCACACCAGTTTTACAAGCTTTGTAAACGCACCTCATTAGTATTATGTAAGTAACCAGATACACTTGATCTCAAAGGCGGTGGTGTTAAAACCAAAGCCATGCAGAAGACTGACACAGCAAAGGATTTGCAGCTTGAGGAAATGCCTTACTAAAGGATGCTCTCGCTAACCTGTTCTTTTATGGAAAAGTGACAAGAAGAAAAGAGGGTCAGATTCGGGGAGGCTGCAGAACTCCATGCGAAGAGAAAGGGTTCTTGGAGCGCTGCGTCAGCACGTCAGAGACAATAAGTCACGGCAGAGTAGGAGAGCCAGAGCCGTCGCGGCCATTTAGGCAATCGTTACATCTCCGCTCCACACCAACCTGATTATGTTTTACACATGAGCACAATAGCAAGCCTGTCACTGTGCTTTGGTCCACTCACACAGGCCTTTCCAGGACCACCCGCAAGAGGACAGAGAGGAGCCGGCGCTGAAGCATGTCAACACCTGAGCTCAAAGCAAGATGGGTCCGCATTGATGCCGTGGGGACGCAGATTTAATTGACACTGGGGGGAACGAGCTGATGACATCAGAGGGAAGCAGACACGAAATTTTCCCCTTTTCAAGACACAGTCCAGAACACATTCTAGAGCATTTCCAGAGTGCCCGATAAAACCCCGATAGAACACAAGTGAGAGAGTGTGCATTTTAGTGGGCCCTGGAGAAGTCCTAAAGTGACCTGGGCCAGGCAGTAATGTTCTGGGTTCTCTGAGGCCAGCTGGGAAGGGATGATGTGAGAGTGAATTAGAAGGGTGTGTTAGGTAAAGCCCATTGTTCAGTACTGCTCTCTGGCTACACTCATTTTCTCTCTCTTTACAGCTCCTCTGTCTCTTTCTCTGTTGTCCCATAAGCAATGATTTATGCCTCCCCGTACCGGAGGAATCTACAGTGACTGAGTAAATAAAACGTCTCCAACATTCTCGTTTGGCTTCTAACCTCCAAATTCATCTCCAGTCAAGCAGGACTACGGCACGTTATTAGCACAGACGGGCCAAATCGTGCTGCCAAATAGCTTTGTTTTTGACAAGTATATTTTCCTCTAATTGCTGCTTTGTGTACACTTGTTTGGTGGCAGCCCTGCTGAACTTGAAGGACAGGCTGCCCCCTTGTGTTAGTCCATAGAAGTATTTTTTTAAGAATAAGTGGCTATATAAGGGGGTGACATGAGACAGCTCTGTTAGGATGTGTGTCAAGGTTGTTTTTATTTCACTGAGATCCTTACAGATACATTCATTCCATAATCCACTATAAATCTCATCCAATGCTGCTATTGAAGCCGAAAAAGAGTTAATCCTTTGCAGGCAAGCGGACACAAGAGCTAAAAGAAGAAACAGAGGCATCCTTATGTATGCGTGTATGTGGAGGACAGCAGATCCTTTAGAAAACACTGGGCGGCTTTCTCTTCACTTCTTTGTGCTGTGGCCATTCTGCGACTGACCAGTGGTTTCAACTGACTGCCTTCCACAATTACCATGGCGTGGGAAAGCATTGGAAAGGATGGATGGGAACTGTCAATCAGGTGGTGAAAAGGTGGTCTTCTTATGCTGCCTCTGGAACCACCACGTTATCGCATGATGTTCTGTTTTTCTCCACTTTCTTTTCAAAATCTGAAATATGCCATTACAGAAGACAGTAGGAATGTTCCCAGTGTTAGAAAGGCATGTTCGCTCGGCATTTCCAGGCCCTGTGTGATTATGACACAGAGAGAAACAGTAAACTGGATTGCCTAATATGGGGGTCTGTCTTTAAATGTGCAGTTATCATGAGTTAATTTGACTGACGAGGATTGGTTCATGAAGAATTAGGGCAATTGGTGTTAAAGGTGTTCGGCCAAAATTGCAAAACTGCATCATTTTCTCACTTCATCATTTTGCTGTTCCAAGCCTGTATGAATTTCTTCCTTCTATGGCGCACAAAATGTATTTATTGTCCATACAGTGAACATCCAGTGTCCAGGGTCCGATGTTGTTTTGGACCTCCTGACTTTCATTGCATGGGCAATGAAAAACTGTTAAAACAGAAGTAAGTGAGCACATGGTGACAGAATTTTCATTTGTGGATGAACAATCACTTTAAAGGGGGAAACTGAAAGATGCCTGTTTGATTGGATGGAAGAGTCAGGCAGACACCACTCTGAGCTTTTGTACATTTAACAACCATCCTGTTTGCATGAATACAAGCAAGTTAAACATTGTTGCATTACCAAGCTACAATAAAAGAGATCTACAGATTTGGATTCATATTCTCAAAATAGTTCAGTTGCAAAACTTCACAATAACAAATACTACAGCCATCCAAAGTCTATTATTATGCAAGTAGACAAGAAAATCCTTGGCTGTATTTGCAGAGATCGGTATTAAAAGATAACAAGTTTTGCAACGGTTACTTTTGCAATGGTTTTGTTGAATGTCTAACAGAAATTCCTTACAGAAAAAAAAAATCTGTCAGAAGACAGCTGAATTGAGAGGTGATCTCTGACCTTAGCCGCTACACAACCGCTGTTAAACAATTCCTCGGCAGATAAGTGAAATTTCTCAGAAATGTAATCTAGGTTTGTTTCCTGAGTTTCTTTTGTTTGCAGAGTTACTTTTCATGCACTGGTTTATTTTTCATCCATGCGTGATTTATTAGTCTGCTTATGTTAAACACCTGCAATGGTTCACTGTTGTGCAATAAAAGTCTTGACAGCTCTTTGTCACATTCTAGAGAAAGAGGGATGCTGTCTTCAGGAAACCCTTTGCAGATAGGATCATACAAGGTTTTCTTAGTCTTCACCATATTAATTATTGTATAAAGGGCTTGAGGCAAGGAACTGCTTCTTTCTTTTTCTATATCCTTTTGTTTGTTGATCCTAGTTGAATACACCTGAGGCTTCCAGTGGGTCAGTAACCTCCTGATTAAACCCGTTCTTACCTTTCACTCTTTATCAGATCAGCATGGCCTGCCAAAAACACACTACAAAGGCCCTGAAACCAAACAAACAATAAAACAGAACAGTACCAAATCAGTCCCCGCCACTCTGACTGAAGTCCATGGCTAAGCCGTGCTATTTTCTACTCCCAATCGCTGAGAAAACACATGAGGCAAACCGGGTCGCTCTCGACTTTTTGGATTCCTGGCTCTGGTCTACATCACTCAGTTCCCAAGATGCTCCCTTGTTACCTTCTCTTATCAGTTTCACCCTCCCTAACTGCGCTTTCTCCTGCCCTTACTCTCTCATTAGTGTCGGGCAGTCGGCCCAGGAGCGTATGTGCAGCAATTGCCTGTTCACCACCACACCTCCCTGCCCTTTTACCACTGCTATCACTGCTGTGAGAACCAGATCCCCTTTCTCTGCACTTAGCTCAGGGGCTAACAATAACCAGCCACAGATGTTTATGCTGGGAGAAAGAGAAAGAGAGAGAGAGAGAGAGAGAGAGAGAAAGAGAGAATGAGAGAATGAGAGAGAGAGAGAGAGAGAAAAAAAAAGAAAGAGAATGAGAGACAGAGGGCAACAGAAGCAGTCTCACTCAATAAAACTCCCCCCATCGTCTAGCTCAGTCTTCGTCATTGTAAGAGCGTCACAGGTCGACGAACAGTCTCCGGAGCCTAAGAGAATTCTTTAGATCTATGGGTGTTGCTGTTGCCTGTTAAAAGTTAAAATCTTTGGTCTTGACTTGCTGATTTTGTATGGCATGAGTCACTTGGCGTTCCCTCAAGTGGGTCAACATTAGCGCTGTCAATCTTAAACAGCAAGCGAGCTATGAGACACAAACAAGATTAACTAGATTTTTACATGCAAAACTCAGAGCCATGATGCTAGTGTGATCTGGGTGGTTGCCAGGATGTTGCTATGGGGTTGCTGAGGTGTTCTGTAATGGTTTCTCTAGATATGGCTCATGTCCCTCCTTTAACAAAGGTCTATGGCATTTGTCAAACAGTACACCTCTCTTCAAAAAGCCAAATGTTTTGAGACATCACTTATATCCATGCAAAATCTTAGCAACTAAACTTAAATAATAAAAATGTGACCAAAAAGTGAATATTTGCAAAAATAAATTAAAAACTACACTGTAATAACAAAAATAAGAAATACAAATATTTATATCAAATATAGTCTTATGTGATGTGTCACGCAAGGACTTGTGTCACGCAGGGAACGTCCTTTTACCATTCTTCGGGATAAATTATATGGTAATTTATAGTTTTACTTATGAAAACCATAACTTTGACAGTATTTTTACAGTTCTAGAAAAAAACTATAAAGGTATGTGGGTTTTTTTTAGATATCATCTCATGAGGTGGTGTTCTTTAATTACATCTTCAGAGTGTGTGCTGGTGTTTGCTGCATGCAACAATGAGCACAACAAGAGTTGTGATGTCTGGTTTGTGAACAAATTATCATCTTTTTAATTAATAGTTTAAACAGATCCCCAAAATATTCAGACTTGATTATCAGTTTGAATCAAACTCACTTAAACAGCCTAAAAGGTCACATATTGTACACCTTTCTAGAGTTTTATTTTAGGTTTTGATGTCCTTAAGAATATATATTTGCGGTATAAGTACCAAAAACCATCTCAATATATTTTTACAGCTCCTCTCTCAGGAGCTCTGCCGAGAGCAGGTCGATTTTGGGCTGTCTAACTAATATTCATGAGCCTCTCTTCTGATTGGCCTGTTGTTTTCTGAGTGACGCACGGCCAGGCCAACTACAGGTAACTAGGGTCAGCCGACGTCACAGCGCTAGCTGGAGGGATTAATTGTGGCTGGAACAATAATGTAGCTGTAAAATACAGTAGTTGCCTGCTGAAATTGAAATGTATATACAACTTCATCATGACTAGATAGACATATACTTTACTATACACGTTAGATGTAATCCACCTCATAGTAACAATCCTGCCAGATCGTCCATCCTTTGAGTGAGAGTGTAACGTTACATGTCGGCAGATCTGGTTTCATGGTTAAAGTTAACCTTTTCGACATGTTTCCGTGTTATCGTTGCTCAGCAATAGCATGGACGCGATGTTGTCTGGGGGTTTGGCAAAAGGAGAGTGGGACTGTGGGCGGTGCTCGGGGTGGTGACTCAAGGCGGTGACTGTGTGGTTCTGACATCAACTTTTTACGGAAGTCACAACGGTTCGTGAAAAATCACAGCTACTTTATGCAGGCTGTGTGCAGTTTACTGTGGACTGACTGTTTTGAAACTTATATGGTAGTTAAATAGCCGCTAGACCTTATTTATCGTGAAAAAAGCCAGGAAATTTCAGTTTTGACAATATGGGACCTTTAAATCAAAAGGCATTACTCGAAATTACTCCCTCCCTCACTAAACCAGAAGTCATTTTTTGGCTATGTGATACTAAACAATCCATTAAAAAAATGTTTTAATAAATTATATTGTTAAAAAATTATTTGGCAATTCTGTATTATTTTAACCAGAAAAGTAATTGGCTAAATTAAAGCAATTAGTTTAAAAGCCAATGTTTCCAATGGGCCAATAAATCCCTAACCATTTTTTTTTTAGTCTGGAGTCACTGCTTAGGGTCAGGGGCTTTAAAAAAACTTAACACAAACCACTAATAACTCAGTGTGATTATGACTAAGCTGGCCTTTATTTCTAGGAACTCTGAAGTGCTCTCTGAGTTAATCTCTGGAAGTTAGCACACCTGAATAGAGTTCTGTTTTTTTTTTTCCATATGCAAGGATGCAACCCAGAAGCAAAATTCCAACAGCAAGAACAGGCACGAATATCACCTGGTAAAGCTCTACAAACAATTGAACAATATCAGAAAGATTCCAAAAATTCTAGTAAAAAGGAAGTATTAGGAGTCAGGAAAAACCAAACAACCATCCTTACACTGTAATTTAACTGTAGTTTACAGAACTACTGCTAAACTACCTACATTAAGTTTGTAAATCTAAACATCTGCAGTAATTAATTCATTGAAAAATATATTTTGGACATTATCTAAAAACGCAGTACATAAAAATTCTATTACATCTGCCATGTCTGTTAAGCTGCATCAATCCCAGTTTCAGAAATGACAACATATTTCCTTGATCCGATGACAGTAACAGGATGCTTGGAGGTCCAAGTGTGTGGTCCGTATCTACCAAGGAAGTCGACCTAGCACATAAACCAGAGCCAAGACATCTGTCATACTACCCAGCACTTAACATTCATACTCAAAAACAAGAATCATGCTCTCCTGCCATCTCCTACACCAGATGGGTATAACAGTGGAGTGGCGTGGCAGGTCTTGTGTAAATATTCAGTGTCTTCTGAGGCATTAAGGAGAAAATCAGGGCCTCGACTTGTAGCATGAGTCAACTTACGTGGGAGTAACTCATCGCCTAACTGCACTGCACAGTGGAAACATGACATCCAACTTAATGTTGCTGTGTCAGGCTAGTCAGGATCTTCAAACAATCGATCTACAAATCACTTACACAGGTGTTTTACCTGTATTTTGAATTAGGATTAAAATGTAACTGATAATGTCCTGGCAGAAATGTACCAGTAACTTTTCCATTTTGCTACTGATTTTTTCTTACATTGTACTTGTAGTTGTTTTAAATGAATAGTTCACCCAAAAATGAAAATCTGCTGAAAATGTACTCACCATCAGGAGAAGTGAAAAAGTGAAAAGCTGTGTTCACAAAAAAAAAATCCATCAAGTAATTTTATCATCTGGCTACTTCTGTCCAAAATACCAGTCCACATATTTGTTTAGAACTGTTTAGAATTGTTTTGGACTGTTTTCACTTGTCAATGGTGCTTGATCTGTATATAATATATCTGCATATTTTTCAACATTTTCATTGGAGAAAGCAATGTTATGGGTAGACGCTTGAAGTTAAAAACGAATTGATTAATTTATTACAAAGATGCAGCTTTTCACTTCACAAAACGTTAATTGATGGACTGGAGTCATGTTGATTACTTGTGGATTATTGTGATGTTTTTTTCACCATTCACTGCAGAGGATTCATTGGTGAGCAAGTGAGGTAATGCTAAATTTTTCCAAATCTGTTCCGATGAACAAACAAACTCATCTACATAGTGGAGGGCCTGAGTGAGAGTATATTTTTAGCAAATTTTCATTTTTGGGTGAAATATTCCTTTAATAGGAAAAAAAGTTCACCCATTAATGAAATTTTGTCATTATTTACTCACCCTCGTGTTGTTCCAAACCTGTATGCCATTTTTATGCATATAATGACTTTCACTCTATGGACAGAAAGTTGAAAATTTTTCAAATTCAAAATAACTTCTTTTGTGTTCCACTGAAGAAAGAAAGTCAGGTTTGGAACGACATGAAGGTCAACAATCACAGAATTTTCAGTTTTTGGTAAACCTTTTTGGAATCCCTTTCATCTGGGATAGAATAAAATATTTAATATCTAAAAAATGACACAGGTCTTATGCTCTGCTAGAACAGTTTGTTTAGCACTGAAGCAAAGTTGAGAACTGGGCCAGCTGATGGTACTGTTTGCTTCCCCATTTTTAAATGTCTCTGTGTGGTCACAGTGTTGGGCATGACAGTTCCTTTCTCAGGGAGAGCAACATATATAACAGTATCATTATGTGCAGACTGGGAGGGTGAAGTTGGTGAGTGGCGCTCTCCCACAATGAAAAACAGAGAGATGGGAAAAAGACAGAAAGAGTCTGCATGGCACTAAACGCGGATGTGTGTGATCCACAGCAGCATCCAGGAACTAGACTTAAGCCTTCACTATATGAAACATCACCAAAAGAAAAGAGACCCGGGGCTTTTCTAGCAATTAACAGAAACATCTGACATGCATTAGCGCTGACATTCATTTATCAGGCATGTGATGTGAGTGAATAGACACGGTCGGTCCAGCATCTGCGCTGCCAAGAAACACGGAGGAGACATTCAGCTGGATAGATACATGCATGATTATAAAAACATCAAAATGGGATGCAATGTAAAAGAAAGCGACTGAGATGGTACGGAAAATATAATGCAACCCTAACATTCTGATGAAATCTGAAAGTTTTTTCGTATGGTTTGTAACAAAATGCAGGCTGAACAATTAATGAGCACAAATAGGCAACATGAAAAAGTAGGAGCTATGTTCAGTAAACTACACAATGAATAAATTCAGTCAGCTCAATGCTGTACTACCTGAGAGCACTCATTGCTAAAGCGACCACCCCCCTCTAGCGTTAAGAAAGTGAAGTACAGGTAGATTTTTTTTTTCAACTGCTCTGAACACCACTTTAAGCCCTTGATCTTAAGTCTCCATACGTTTTCTTAAGGTTCCTTATGAATACAGTGAGGTACACTACAATGTATAGAAGCCCATTACTGTCACATAAGAAAAAAAATCATGCTTTGGGAAATTATAACTATGACATAGTGCAGGGGTGTCAAACTCAATTCCTGGAGGGCCGGAGCCCTGCAGAGTTTTGTTCCAACACACATACCATGTAGTTTTCAAATAAGCCTGAAGGACTTGATTAGTTGGATCGGGTGTGTTTAATTCATCAAATAGACACCCCTGATATAATGTGTCATGATTTCAACTTTTTAAGTCATAAAAATTACGTAAAAGAGATGAAAATTAGATAAAGTCATAAATATGACAGAAGTCGTAATCATGACATAAGTCGAAATTATGAGCCAAAAAAGATAAGATAACAATCATAATTATGAGATAAATATCATAATCGTGACATAAAAGCAGGGGTCTCCAAACTTGGTCCTGGAGGGCCGGTGTCCTGCAGACTTTAGCTCCAACCCTAATTAAACACACCTGAACCAGCTAATCAAGGTCTTACTAGGCATGCTAGAAACTTCCAGGCAGGTGTGTTGAGGCAAGTTGGAGCTAAACTCTGCAAGACAGCGGCCCTCCAGGACCGAGTTTGGAGACCCCTGCATATAAGTCAATATGTCATAAAAAGTCAAATATCAGAACTATGACTGTCATGATTTTGACTTTTTAAATCATAATTATAACATAAAAGGGATAAAAATGAGATAAAGTCATAAATATGACAGAAGTCATAATTATTTATGACATAAGTCAAAATTATGAAGCAAAAAGTCAAAATTCAGAGACAAAAGGTACAAGTTTTTTTTTTAATGATGAGCTAAAATGTCATAATCGTGACATAAGAGTCAATATGCCATAAAAAGTCAAAAATGATGACATTAAAATACAAAAATGATTGGGTAAAAGTGAAAATTAGATAAAAGTCATAATTAAGACATAAAAGTAAATGTCATAAAAAGTTGTCATTATTTTATTTTATTTATTTACTTTTTGCACATTTAATTTAATCACAATGAAAAACAATAATGTTAACACAAAATACTACAGCAATGGCCAAGTGTCTACAGTCAGCAGATAAAATAAAATGTTCACATACCTTGACTACAAATTTAGAACACTGCATTATGATGAAACTGCAAAAATCCAGAGAATGCGAGTACCATTAACAAAAAAATGGTCACAATCTCATAACTTCTAGAGAAACCCAAAAATATGTTTATTGCTGAAAACATGAACATAGGCATATACAGTACAGTAATGAAACTCAAATGCATAGCGTGAAATACTCACGTGTTTGTGACAGATGCAGTTAGACGAAGTTGTAGAAAGTCAAAAGAAGGAAGGGCGGTAACGTTAAAGCAGAGCTCACAGACTTTTCTTATGATATTGATGGGTTGTTTAGATATAATTTACAATATAGAATTTATATATTTTTTTAAATAAAACGACTCGAGGATAACAATAAAATAGCGATAATGAAAGAAGCCTTAATCACTTTCTCCCGCCGATAGTTTAAATCTTGCCCTCGGACGTTAGGACCCCGGCGCGTGCCGTTGTCATGGAAACACAGTCGGATTTAGGAGGCTGCATACTTTGCCAGACAGTCGCGTTCGTTGTTCCAAGTAAATTGTGAAATATCCATGATGATATATCGCTAAACAAAATTATAGTCTTTCATTTAATGTATAATAATTGCGATTTAAAATCCAATGAGTGTTTTATGGGTTTCTGTTGTTAAATACTTTATAACTGGCATGTATTGGTCACCATATGAGAACATGTTTAAAACGTAAACACCATCTGCTTGGCTTTTACCGTAAGGTTTTAATTTCCTAAGGTTTTTCTTTCTAATATGTTTAGTTAGTTGATGGATAAGCTGAGCTATAGGGTATGTAAGTTAAAAGGCTTACGTGGTACCATTTGCACGTCTTTTATAAGATATTTCGTTTGTTTTGAATAGAAATCAGGAACGATTTTTTTTTTCATATGATTGCTGTAATGCCATCAAGTAATTTCAAGATGATTCCAATGGGTAGTTAACGTCAACTACTTGCGAAGTGACATGCTAAGCATTTTACTAACTGTTTTACAATGACTATGCGTGCAGTTTTCATGACCTTATATTAATTGAATACATAGAATATTTATACTTTTAAAAATGTACTTATCACACCACGGGGCCATTTAAAATGAACTAGTGAAAGCCAAAAAGGTGAAAAAATTAAGAGAGGACCTAATATACTGTTTCCTTTATGCATTTATAAATTGTAACTTTAAACCTTAATGTTGATTTAAAATAATAATAATAATAGATTCATGTGTTATGTTCATGTTACGCTTCCCTAACATTGATCAATCCACAGAGAACAAAAAAATCATCCATAATATTGTACTATTAAGTATTTGATCTATTCATTTCTGCTTATTGAAAAGTAACTGACCTGTATAGATAATCTTCAGTACATTTCTCTGAATGAAACCATAGTATGTCTCGAATTTGTAAGAAGAAACCTGCTGTGTGCACAGATGAACCACTTTCCAACAGTAACATCTGCCAAAAGATGGCTCTATTGAGAAATATACTCAGTACTGCCTATGGACCTACTGGTAGACTGAAACAAATACATAACAATGTTGGAGGCCATGTCTTGACAACTTCAACCTCTACAGCCCTGCTCAAACGAGTAGATATGTCTGAGCCACTTCTTAAAATGATCTCAACTGCTGTTCAACATCACACCGCATGTTACAGTGACTGTGGGCTGTTTATGGGGATTTTCACACTCAGACTTATTGAAAATACACAAAATAATGGCCTCAGGACAGCTGCAGCAGCCAAGGTATACAAACACCTTGTGGAAGAATGCAACATGTATCTTAAAGGAGACTCTTGTGGTTGTAAAGTGCCAGTAGACTTCAGCAACAGCGATTCACTCATTGCACTGGCTCGCAGCATGATCGCCAGCAAACCTGCCTGTATGTTGAATAGCAGGGAAACAAAGCATATCAGTTCACTGATCGCACAGGCCTTCTTGTATTCCATCCATTGCAACTCATCCGGCGTGAGCTGCTTTGGAAGGACAGTCACCATTGGCATTGAGGGCCAATCAGTGAGCGATTCTTCGGTTTTCCCAGGACTGCTGGTGGATGTCCCTGAGATGCTTCAGCATGCAGATCTTGAGAGACTTGAATCTGGTCTGTTTAAGGTGGTGCTTTTCAGCGTATCACTGTCAGGGGATATCTCTGAGGTTGGAGATGTAACTTTGGAGATCCATAGAGGAGTGGACCCAGAGCGTGATCTCCTTCAGCAGCTCCTGAAGCTTGGGGAACAAGTTGTTATGGACAAAGTGAACTTATTTGCATGCCAAAAAGTAGTACATCCAATTCTCCAGCACTACTTGAGGAAACATGGAGTTGTTGTGATAGAGAGGCTTGGACTAGCCCTTATGGAACCGTTTGTCCAGTTAACAGGTAAATATTTAATAACGGTAAGGTATATTTATAGAATTGACTATCAGTTTAGAGCTGTTACCGAGTTTAATATAGGTTTAACATATGTCCAGCAATTACTGTGAATTAAAAACCTATTTTGTAAATAAAAAAAAAATTAAGAAAAACTTTTTTTTTAAATACATAATACACATTTTACATTTTGTATTTAAAAAATAAAGTTAATACTATGTTTTAACCATTTTTTTTTTATAATAATGACAATATGTAAAATTGCAACATTTTATACATAAAAAATACATTAATGAAAATGTAAATATTTTTGCCAGGGAAAATGTATTTATACTTATGATTGTTATTAATTAAAGCCATGCCTTCTTTGAATAATATATTGGTAATAATATATAACATCATATATACAATAGTATTGAAAAAAAATCAGCTTTATTTTAACTCTGTGTTTAATATTTCAGGTGCTCAGGCTATTGCTTCTCTTTGCTCTTCAGTCCCAGTGGAAGCTTACGGGATGGTTAAAGAATTCTGTTTGCAGTCATGTGGATCCAGAGAACTCCTCCAGCTCCTTCCTTCTAAAGATGCTGCAGTTAGCACCATGGTTCTCTGCCACAGAAATGAAACTATGCTGGAAGAACTGAAGGTTTGTTAAAATAGAGATCTTTGTGTTAATTTCGATTATTTTCATTTAATTGCACCAATATAATAGTTTTTATGTTGATTAATTCAAACACACAGCTTGAAATAATTCACCAAAATGAAACCTACCAACTCTAATGCCATTTTGCTGCTAAAATTTAAAACATGTCTTAGATGCGTTTAAAAACATCTGTTTGAATGCTTTTATACTCTTGAATCATGAAACAAGGAAGAATCTGACTAGGAAACTAATGGCCAAATAAAAGCTGCATTAAAATCATCAGAATATTCACAACTCTTACTTTTTTGCCAGTAAAATCAACACAGATATCGTGATTGTGCAATGTATTGTCCCGCTCTATTAAAGGGGTCATATGATGCGATTTCAATTTTTCCTTTCTCTTTGAAGTGTTACAAGCTCTTGGTGCATAAAGAAGATCTGTAAAGTTGCAAAGACTAAAGTCTCAAATCCAAAGAGATATTCTTTATAAAAGTTAAGAGTCAACCACGCCTACCTAAAACGGCTCGTTCTAACACGCCCCCACATGTCTACGTCACGATGTGGGAAGATTTGCATAACACCGCCCAAATGTTCACGCAAAGAAAGAAGGCGTAAGATGCAACAAATGCCTTGTTTGTAATGGGTTTTATTGGTTTTGTCCGGGACACAGGGCATCACAGTATGGTAAGGGTCGTAACATTTCCGTCACGCTTGAGGTATTCGGCCAATCACAACACACTGGATAGCTGGCCAATCAGCGTACACCTCGCTTTTCAGACCGATGAGCTTTGTAAAAATCGACGCGTTTCAGAAAGGCGGGGCATAGAGGAGAAACAATAATGTACATTATGTGGAAAATAATGTGTTTTTTGAACCTTAAACCGCATAAACACATTTCATTACACCAAATACACAACATAATGTTATTTTTAGCAACATCATATGACCCCTTTAATAAACCCTGTTTGTACTGTCTTCGCACTCATTCTGTTGGGTTTATTTTGGGTGTATTCTTCCCTCTCTGTTAGTTCTCCAAGCTATTTATTTAGTTTCTTGTATTTTAAAGTTCCAATTTTCTTAGTACTGTATATAAAGCCATGATCCGTACTCAACAAAAATAGTCTTCTTTTTGCGTTTTATTTTACATTCATCACCAGTAGGACAGAACACTTTTGGCTTTATTAATTAAATTGTCTGATTGTATAATTGTGATAAATATGGGATCATATGTAATTCATGTTCCAGCCAGGGGTGTATTATGCAATGTATTGATGGATGTGAAGGTTTGTGTTGTATACAAATGGAAATTGTCTAGCATTTAAATGGTTACGTGTTTTTTTTGGAGATTGAAGATTGGTTAAAGGTCCCATGGCATGAAAATTTCACTTTATGAGGTTTTTTAACATTAATATGAGTTCCCCTAGCCTGCCTATGGCCCCCCAGTGGCTAGAAATGGCGATAGGTGTAAACCGAGCCCTGGGTATCCTGCTTTGCCTTTGAGAAAATGAAAGCTCAGATGGCCCAATCTGGAATCTTCCCTTTATGTCGTCATACGGGGAAAGGTTACCTCCCCTTTCTCTGCTTTGCCCGCCCAGAGAATTTGGCCCGCCCATGAGAAAATGAGCTACTACCGTGCGAGGCGAGCGCAATGTTTTTTTTTCCTCGAGAGACATCATGGCTTGCAAACGAGCAAAGCATGGGAGCATCCAAAAAGCAGCATGTCATGGGACCTTTAATGAATGATGATGTCAATTTAATTAATGATTTAAAAAGTGGGTGAAGGGATTGAATTGTTTAACACACTGAAGAAGGCTTTCAGCCGAAATGTTTGTGTTCTGTCCTACTGGTGATGAATGTAATATAAAAAGAAGACTATTTTTGTTGAGTGTGGATCATGGCTTTATATACTAAGTAATTTAACAGATTGACGCAGCAAAATAAAATATTAAGTGACAAAAGAGCGAGGTGCAAACGGCTTTTGTGGAACTAAGTTCCCGTTTTCCAAATGACTTTTGATTTACTGGACTCTTTGGATTTAAATTTTTTGCATTAATTCCCTCTTTCACTTC